GCGTCTACTTATTAATATATATTTAAGTTATAATTTTAAAATTAATTAATTTTTTAATTAATTAATTAAACACAGCCACTGCTGTGTTAATGCAGCAGTAGCTACTATCATTTCTACCATGACATAAATAACGTAAATAAATAATTATGACGTAAATAATTATTTATTTATAAATAATAATGCCATGTGCGAGTTTGAGTAAATTGAGGTAAAGTAAATTAAAATTTTCTAGGGATTTTTTGCACTGCACTTATGTAAATATTTATTTATTTATTGTATTTATTTATTATTTTTGATTTAAAGTTTTCAAATTTATTTATTAAACGTCTTATAAAATTTTCACAATAGTAACATTAGTGTTAGTTAATCTTGATCTAATTTATCCTACTCGAAATTCTGGTAAATACCAACATTCGCTGTCATACCCACATAATTTACTAATTCTCTCAATTTACCATCAATTTACTCAAACTCGCACACGGCCTAATAATGGAATATACATCTTGTGGGTTTCCATTAAATTTGTATTAATATTCAATTGTTTATTTGCAAGCGGTAGAGTTTAACAACTATGTTTGATTTCGTCACGAAGGAAATAGAATAAAACAGCTCTCTACCACGAATTACAAATGATAAAACTTTTTTTTGAAAGACTTTTGTGCCAGAATAAGAAAAATATTTCAAATTTTCTTTTGGTTGATCTTACAAAGATCTTGCAAAAGATTTTTAACGATTTTTGCCAGAATTGTCCCGAAAAAATACTACTCATACGTTATCATATAAGCGAAGAGATAGGCTATTATTGGTGTAAGATAGTTAATTAAATAACTGCAAAATATTCTTAAATTTTATCACATTTTAACAATAAATTTTTCCCCATTCAACTGTCTTATCTAACGTGCGTATTCTTCCAAAACTACTTGTATGTTATGTCCTTTGCATTTTGTCTAGAATCACAGGCAACTTATTTTCCATAATTTGTAAGTTAAACTGCGCTTCTATCACTTTTTATCATGTCCAGGCCAACGCGTTTGCTGGCGCAAAGTGGCTGACGTTATGTTTATCTACAAAATACAGCACTACTACTTAAGTGCTTTTCATAATTTTATCGCATGTTTATTTGAGATTTCGCATACTTTATTTGCTATTAACCATTTCGCGTCATCGGGCGTTTATTTGCCGCTTTACAATCTTGCATTTTCCGATGGCGTTGGCAGACAATAAAAGCAAATTAATTGTGTGCTTTGCATGTTTCTGCCTCGGAACGGTTCTGCATATGCAAATGCACTCCGCCTCAACAGTGGGTTTGAGTTCGTGACTATGTATGCACTTTTCATACTAACTGTTTTTTTTCTTCTTCTTCTTCTTCTTCTTCTAAATATATAATTTGTAAATGCGATTTTAATTAGCATTAATTTGCGTTTATTTAACTTTAATAGAAATGCTGCAAATAGCAACTGTCACTTCAGATTTTTTTAATGTGTATCTCATGTCTGAGAATTATAGTATGTGAAAGGTTGTTGACTTTGTTGCAGATATTCTGCAAAAAAGATATTATTTAATGACTGACATACTGAGTATTGATGAAGGCGACGATAATGATTCTGCTGATTCTTTTCTGTTCAAAATTATTAAACAAAATGACTAATTAAGTAATTTTTTAGTAGTTTTGATTTGTTTGCGCTCATTATGCTTAACTGTATCGAATCACTTAGCAAATACATTTTTTATTGCTTATTTAAGCATAGCGTTTCTGTTTTTAATTAAAAAAAATATTTTATATTCATTAGTTAGTAGAGAAAAAGTCATTAAAACATTTTAATAATTTTTTTCTCATTTAACTTTTATACTTAAGAAGTATAATTCTAACTGATAGCAATATATATAAATATAAACCAATGCTTTAATGAAGTTTAAATTGATTTTTAAGTCTCTTAAGTTTAATAATTTACTCGTTAAAAATTATTTTAATAATATTATTAACAATTTACTGGTTAATGTTTATTAAAACACCAGCAAAATGTCGCTGATGTTAATGATATAATTAATAAATGTTTATTAAACTATAAAAAATGATCAATGATATCAAATTCATTTCATCACAGCAAGTGTAATGCGACTATGTCAGTATTTAATAGAATTTTCAGTACATTTTTTTTAATTTGTTTAGATAAGGTGACATTTAACTCCTTAACGGACTTTTTTTCAACCCCAGAATCTACTGGAAACGTTCTTCTCGAAGTGATTATCTTAGATTTCAGAACAAAAAAAATATCACATAAAGTCGCCTCATATATATAATGTGTTTAGTCAAACAAATTTGCTAAAATTTCTTGCCAAAAAACTTTTACAGAATGAGCTTTGTGGAATCACAGAACACTCAAAAGTATCATAGCAAAAATAGCTGTTGTAAATATATTGAGTAATGTATCGAATCCAAATCCACATGGTAAATATAATACACCACTACTAATTAATTATACTAATACTTTAATTAGTTGCAATTATATTTTAAGCACTTATTTAAACCATAATTCCAGATACCCTCTACACAAAAGTATTATCTCTTACAAAATGTACATAGTGTCAATGGTGCGTCAAACGAATACCCAAATTTTTAATCAATTGGTTTGATGCAGAGTGTAAAAGTGTTACAGAAGGGACACACTATTACTCTGTAAGGTCCGTAATGACAAAGTCAAATTACGATTCATTTTGTGCAATAAATTAAAAAAATGTTCCACTGAAAAATGATCATTACAAAAATCTGACACTTGAAGAACGAGATAAGTAGAGCGAGATATGAAAGATATGGATGTAAAGTAATTCCATTTAAACTAGCCTTTTGATTACAGAATATCGTACATTCAAACGAAGTTTGCATTTTGCCTACAGTTTATTTTGTTTGTTGAGGCACAAAAAATGTGAGCCATTCGAGATCATAATAGGTTAATGTCTCTATAACACACATTATCTCTTAGTAGTAGATATTACTTTGAACATATCTTTGATATTTATTTCCAAAACTGCAAAATGTACTTAAGCATAGTTACGACTGTATTTATTAATAGTAAATAGAAGGATACAACGTGGTTTGTATCATCTATTATACTTCCTCTCAAGATAGTGTTTTAAGCAAATTAAGGTTAATAACGAAACCAATAACATTCATTATCTTAGTCTCCACACCCTATGCAATTCAACCTAAGCTGGATGAAAGTACTGCACACGTTTCTTAACGAGTATCTTAACGAATAATTTTAATATTTGAGTTTGATTAGTGGAAGGTTTTCTATAAAACCTAAAAAAATACTATTATATATAAGGATGCCATGACTTAGATAGTCATAAGGAGTACTACAATACTAACACTTGAACCAAAACTTTAATATAAGTTCTCAAGTAAAAAAATTCTAAAAAATATCAAAACTGAGCTGTCTTTTGTATTCAAAGTATGTAGAAACCAGCTGATGATAATTAATTAAAGTTGATTTAATATACAACACATATAATTCTTTTTACAAATTTGTTAAATGAATTCTTTTCTACTCAGAAGAGGAAACCATTTTTATATATTTAAATATATTATTTTTTTTTTGTAAAATCAAAATTATATTTTAAAATTAAGACTGAGCTAACTCAGCCTCAGTACGTCAGTGTCGACAAGTAGACATTTTCAGTTCAGCTGCTACGAGAATAACATAAACTAATATGAAGTAAATATATATAATACTTGTATTTATATACATGCCTACTTAAAAGTATCTCAAAAACTTGACAAAAATGATTTTCGTTTTTGTTTAATAATATGAACGAAAAGATAAATACTCGTACGCTCTTTCCGGAAAAATATTAGCAGGAATATGACTAGTCAACAAGTTTTAAGTTCAGTCTATTTCGGTGTGCGGTCCAGCGTGGTACTTAAAAGTATTCGACAAGAATCCTAAAATCGTGCCGGTACAGGAAAAACGAAAAATTTGTACTTTTTGTCATTCAGATAGAGGAATATTTTGGAAGAAAATATTCCATTCTATTTTTAAAATTTATGCTTAAAATCGCGCGCGTTAACTTGACGGTTGAAGTGTGTCATTTTATTTTAAAATACCAACAAAACACATACAAAATATTACAAACTGAAGTGTGCCCTCAAATACCTAATATAATTTTAATGATTATAACAGAGGAAGAAACATAGATTATATAGTGCAGACAGTGTACTTTTTGAATACCAGAGAAAACTCATTTAAGAAAAGTGCTTTATGGCAACTTGCTTTGTTATTAATAGAAATGTGTTAATATCTATTGTTAAATTTATGGTTAATAATTTAAAAGAAATAAAATAGGAAAAGAAGTTTCACTTAAAATTACGATTTTTTAAAAATGTATTAAAATTAAAATTTAGTATTGGCAAAAGGCCATAAACGTGTCACACTAATTACGTAAATAATTGGTAAATCGATAAGATCATTATTCCATTAATGACTCAGTAATTTAGTTTAAAATTTTTTATAATAAAAGAAGTACAGTAAAATTATAGAAAAGTAAAAATGTTCGCCAGATTTCGTAATTTATTTTCAAAATCCAAAC